TAGGAACAATAAGCAAAGCAGGATAGGGCCGGGCTGTGACACTTGCCTTCGATGTCTAGACAGAGGATAAGTATCTAGGAACAGAGAATGGGGCTCTTTGAATTAAGTCAGTGGGAGCGCAGGTGGAGAATTGAGATGAAGAAGCCCAGGAGAGCCAGGAGGGACAGGAAGGCCCCTGCCCTTTGACATACGACAGCAGTTCTCACTATTTCTATGTCATTAGATACAGAAAAATAAGCTGCCCAGGGACTGAGATATCTCTCTATCCCACAGCAAACCCCACCCCCTTCCTATGATGTTTATGTAGTGGGGAGGGAAGGGAATAGGTCTGGAAAATGCTGGCCTTGACTCAGCTGTCCTGCCTGTTTCGGGCCTCATCCTTCCCCACCTCCCTTCTCCCACCTTCGCTCCTGGGCCCTTCCTATCTCCAGCAGCTGGACCCAGACAACACTGGCTTCATTGGCGTGGAAACCTTCACTGGCCTGGTTCACAGCCATGAGCTGCCACTGGACCCTGCTAAACTGGACATGCTGGTGGCACTGGCCCAGAGCAACGACCAAGGACAGATCTGCTACCAGGAGTTGGTAGACCTGGTTAGTGACAGGGGTCTTAGGCCTATCATCTCAGCTTCCATTGGTCCCCTGGATCTTGCTTCTGAGGTGATGGTCGGAGTGGGAGGGGACAGCGGTATTCAAGGAGAATTCCCATTTATTGTGGTTTATATTACCACTCTAGCTGGGGGAAATGGGTGTTGTTGGCATTAAGGGTCTTGAGGGCATGATGCTCCTTGGATACATCCAAGAGTCAGTGTGAAAGGGGTGGTTTGGTGGAGGAGGGGTTTTGATCCAGGAAACGGGCAGCAGAGTGGAAAGTGTATTGAACATGAGTTCAAATCGTAGTCCTGTTACTTACTGCCCATCTTTAGAATGAGGGGGTTTGATTAGATCATCTCTAACATTCCACCCAGGTCCAAATCCTTTGTCTTCTGACTGTAGGACTATTGCTTGAGGATGTCCAAGTTGTGTACTCAGTGTCTTTGACTGCAAGCATGTGGGCCCAAGTTGTAGATGGAATGCCTTGTATGTAGTAGGTAACTCAGTAATTATTTTGAATGGAAAACAAAAGTGGTGGCAACATCTATGAACAAATCCTCATTGACTATTGGAAATCTGGTCCACAGAAAAAAGTTCAGGTTATCCTGCCTCTCTCCCAAGTGGCCCTTTGCGTCCCTTAGTTGCTGGCCTTAGTTTCTACAGCTGGATACCAGGGGCCCTTTTCTGCTCTTCCCTGGCAGATCAGCAGCAAACGCTCCAGTAGCTTCAAGCGGGCCATCACCAATGGGCAGCGCGCCCTGCCTCGGGATGGGCTACTGGATGAGCCAGGCCTTGGTTTCTATAAGCGCTTTGTGCGCTATGTGGCCTATGAGATCCTACCTTGTGAGATGGACCGCCGATGGTACTTCTACCAGCACCGAACCTGCCCACCCCCAGTCTTCATGGCTACTGTTACACTCACACAGGTGATCCCCTTGGGTACCCCATTCTCAGCCCTAAACTATTTCCCGTTTGCAGCCTCAGAGGGCCAGACTCTGAGATAAATTATCCTTCCCAGATCATCGTGTTCTTGTGTTATGGGGCTCGGTTAAACAAGTGGGTGCTGCAGACCTACCACCCTGAGTATATGAAGAGTCCTCTGGTGTACCACCCTGGCCACCGTGCCCGAGCCTGGCGATTTCTCACCTACATGTTCATGCATGTTGGGTAAGAGGGGATTGCCTTCAGTCTCTCATAGAGGTCAATGTAGGGACCTCAGATATCTCCAAATGAATTTTCCTTTAAGGTCCCAGGCTGGAAATGAGAATCGGGTGAAGCTGTTTCACTCCTTTACACAGCTGTTCATGGGACTCCGAGAGAGTAATCTCATGTTTGTACCTTCTTTTACCCTTTCCAAAGCCATGTGAAGCAGGCCAGGTAGGAAGGAGGAACCTCGTTTTACAGAGACTGAGGGCCAGAGAGAGGGGAAAAGGGACTTGCTCAGGCTATACCACTCAGTAGTCCCTGACAGAGCTGGGGTAGAACACCAGCAGTCTTTCCCTCCCTTTGCATTTGCAGAGCAGGGAAGGGGTCTTGTCCCCACCTCCCAGGTTGGAGTGCAGGAGGACTTAGGCAGATGTAGGTTTTCAATGGACAGTAGGAGTGCTGTGACACCACTGGGTCCCCCCTATGCTCTAGGCTGGTTTGTAAGAGGCTCCATGGTGCATGCTGCATCAATGTCCATGCTGCTCTGACTAGTGTCGTATCCTCCCGTCCCACCATCTAGGTTAGAACAGCTGGGCTTCAATGCTCTCCTACAGCTCATGATTGGCGTGCCCCTGGAGATGGTGCATGGGGTGCTTCGGATAGGTTTCCTTTACTTGGCAGGCGTGCTGGCAGGTAAGGGCGGGGGTGGGGGAAGCCACGCTCTGAGGTGTCTGCTGAGGGAGCATGGCTTGAACCTAGGCCCATTGGGACAGCCCTCTCCTGACCCACTGTCCTTCATTGCCTCCCATAGGTTCCCTGACAGTCTCCATCACAGACATGCGGGCCCCTGTGGTAGGGGGTTCAGGTGGCGTCTATGCCCTCTGCTCTGCCCATCTGGCCAATGTTGTCATGGTAAGGAGAGGCTCTGTCCCGGGGTGGAGGGGAAGAGGCACTGGGGATTTGAAGAAAGCTAGCCATGTCCCTTCTCACTTCTTGGCCCAAGCCATCAGGGTGAGCCTGTTTAAGCCTCCCCATCCAAACCCTCACCAGATGCTCCTTCTCCTTAGAACTGGGCTGGGATGCGCTGCCCGTACAAACTGCTGAGGATGGTGCTGGCACTGGTGTGCAGTGAGTATTGGCCCTCCCAAGAGGTGTGGGGGGGAGGCGAGGAAGGGCCTGGGGAGGGCCGGATTTGGGTCAGAACAATGTTTCCCCTGGCCTGAGGAGGCAGGCCAGGTTCTGAGCAAGGTGCATAGGGTTTCTCTACCCCCCCCCCCCCGACCTGCACAAGCTAAAGGAGGAACAGTGAATGACAAGCAGTCAGCCTCACTGAAGGGAGAAAGGACAGTCACTGCCACCCTAGGGCGTTATTCCTCCTCCAGATGACATTAGGCACCCTCCAGGGCCCCCAGATCCCGCCATGCCCTGAGGTGGGAGCAGCTGCCGCCAGGCTGAGGGCCACCCCAGGGGTCCCCTTGTCCTCACATCTTGCTCCCCCCCACTGCAGTGAGCTCAGAGGTGGGCCGAGCTGTTTGGCTCCGCTTCTCCCCACCCCTGCCTGCCTCAGGCCCTCAGCCCAGCTTCATGGCCCATCTGGCGGGCGCCGTCGTGGGCATCAGCATGGGCCTGACCATCCTTCGAAGCTATGAGGAGAACCTGCAGGACCAGTGTGGCTGGTGGGTAGTGTTGCTGTCCTATGCCACCTTCCTCCTTTTCGCCATCTTCTGGAACATCTTCGCCTACGACCTGCTGGGGGCGCAGGTCCTGCCTCCCCCCTAGTGCCCCATGAAAGTGCCAACACCGCCACTCCGGTGCCACCAGCTGCCAGGCAGCCAGGACGCGGTCGTTATTTCTCCCTGTCAACGTGAACCTGACTGAGGTGGGTCTAGTGCCCGGCTCAGTTCTTCAGTGACAAGAACAACATAAGGTGCCAACTTCCCACTGGATTCTGGGCTGGGCATGCAGGTGCGTGCATGTGATTTTGGGTGCAGGCTAGTCAGGGCACGGCCCCCCCTTGGCAGGACCTCCAGGTGTGGGCCTGCATGTCCACCCTCTACTGAATGTATGTTTTAAAGCTGCTTCTCCCACCCCTGCCCCTGTGCCCACCTGCCTGGGAAGGGCAGGGGCCTCACTGCTCCCCCCACCAACAATTTCCCTCAGCTGGCTCTTTTCTCTCTAACTCTCCCCAGTTGCTGCAGGGACTTCAGCTCTATGGCCCTAAAAAGCTACTGAAATCAGGGCCTCTCAAGCCTTACACTGGTCCTGGGCCTAAATCCTCTTCCAAGTCCCCCTGCCACTAGGGAAGCCTAGTTTGAGGCTGCCCTGTGGAAGGTAGGAGGGGATGTGCCTGAAGGAAGTCAGGGGTAGTAACCAGAGGAGAGCACCCAGGGGAGTAGAATAGAGGCCCCACAGCCTCCAGAGCAAAGAGCCAGTTTGATGGATTTGCTGTCTGAGCCTTTTTGGAGTATGAATAAATATTTTACACAGCAGCTGGCCAAGCAGTCTCAAAGTAGAACGCCAATCTCAGCTCCTGGCCTGCCACCCAACACTGCTCAAGTGACCTTCTCTCTCCCTTTTTCCCCTCCTCCCGAGGCCCTGCTGTTGGGATAGAGGCCAAGGCAGATTCCCCTGGGATCTCCTCCTGCTATTTCCAGCTTCTGGTCTTTCCCAGCAACTTCTCAGGCCTGTTAAGATTTTCCCTCCTCACACCTCCGAATTTAGGCTCATGTGTGAAGGCAATTAGGAAGCTGTTTACACCTCCTGCCAGAGTAGTTAGCTAAGAGCTGCTGAGCCACTGGGGCCCACCCATTCATTTCCTGAAATCCCACGAGGCCGAAGCCAGGCCCTACTGGTGTTTAAGCACCTACAGTCTTCTCTACTTTCAGGAATTCAGGAAAGCTCCAGTAGCAGATGTTTTATCTCTGGAAAACTTAAGTTCCCTCTAACTTGCCCTCCTCTTCCTGGTTCTCCCTGTGAGAATCACTGCTCTATTCAGTTAACACTATTAAACTCTCTGAGAGAGGAGGGGCCCCCTACACCACATATAGGACGACAGAAAACAAAGCACTGGACATACTTGAGCCTTGGTCTATGTAGGAACTAAACACAACAGGGAGAAATTATCAGAACTGCAGAGATAGTTTAAGTGACTTCCCCAAGGTAATTTAGTGATGGAATTGGAGCTACCCACCCCATCTTCCTAACTTCCAGCTCAATCCTAGCCTGGGAGAGGGTATCTAAAGAGTTGAGGTCCAGATGAGGTTGGGATAGAAGGCAATTTTAATGGATGACAGTGGCTACCCTGTGCCCTGAGCCCTCAATGGACACAAGTAGAGGATAGAAGTCTGGCTGCAGGTTACTGTGACTTGATGTATTTCTCTTGGGTGAAGTGTATACAGACTTCCAGGATCAGTGAATACTAGCTTTTCGTTTCTTGGACAGTCTAACATCTTCAGCACCTTCCCTGGCTTTGGGGGCTTTCCAAGAAAGGGGAGGCAAGACTGTGGGACACAGTTTTTGGGCCACAGTCCAGGTCCAGAGGCACATTTCTATCTGGTGAGGAGTCCATTCTGATGAAGCATCAACTGTGAGAAAAGCCCAAGGAGGAGGGAAATGAACATGCAACTCTGGACCTACTCAAACCAACCAAGTATTCCTGCCAGGGGTCTACCCCCCATCTGAGACTCCTTTACCCACTACATTTAGGCATGGTCCTTCCCCAAACCCTTCTGGCATCAAAGGCATTTGGTCAGTCCATCAGAGACTGAGACTACTGTGGTATATGCATCCCTCCAGCAGTCAGCCCTTACCTTGGTTTAGTCTCTTAGCACAGGCCCGGATCTTGTCCAGATATAGGATATAGTGCTTGAGAGTATACTGGAGCACGGGGAGGTCAGGGACAGCAGCCACTGCCTCATCTGCCATGAATGCTATTGTCTCTGGGGCACCTGCTGCCAGAATTGCTGAGGGAAGCATAGCTGGGTTATGGGAAGCCAGGGGATCCTCCAGTCCAGGCCCATCCATGCTTTCCAGGGTACTTGAGGCCTGAATGTCACCTCATGTTAAGTTAGTTCTCCTGAACCCCTAAGTCACCACTTCTGCTAGGGCTGATCTGCCCCAAGAAAAGAAATCTCTTAGTAGCATATGGTCAAATTTGGCCACTGATTAGGAAAATGTTGAACTGGACTGATTAAAATGGTCTAGTTATAGTGTTCCAAGGCAGCAGGTGGGGAGGGGATACTCCCAAACCTCAAGGAGAGCAGAGGAAGGGATGAGTGTCTTGTACTCTGTCAGCATCAGTCACTTTAGGTCACACATAACTGAACTGTGCACTGAACTGAAGCCTTCTCAGCTTGAGCTGGAGGGGCAGATCTCAGGACGGTGGCAAAGACACACCCAGACTTCCCTCTCCACCTCACAACATCCCCCTAAGGCACCAGGAGACCCAGGGCTCAGTTCTGCTCCACAGGTTACAAAGTGTCACCTGGCTGCTGGGTCCCCCCCCCTCAGCTCTCCCCCTCACCCCCCCTCCCTCACCAGAGGCAGTGGCTGGTCCCACAGCCTTAAGCTGGCTCAGCTCTGTGATGGCGGCTTCCACATTGGGTAGTAGAGAGAAGGCTGCTGCTGTGCACTGCTTTACCAGTTCCTCCGGGTTAGTGGCCACCAAATGCTGCAGTCGTGGTCTGAACTTGCCCCTCTAAGTATGTGTGGGGGAGGACAGGGGCAGGAGGATAAGAACATGGTGAGAACATACAGTTGGATTCTTAGTGACCTTCTGTTTAGCCCCTCACAATCTAGTCCAGTCTCTCACTGAAGTCCTGAGAGGTTGTCACACAGGGAGTAAGTGGCAGAGCTGGGATTCATGACCAGGTCTTCTGACTACAAGTTCTAGACCAATTTACATGCTCCAATCTCTTCTCCTTAGAACCCTGAGTCTTCTTTCAATGGAAATACCTCTTTTAGCTGTGTGACCCTGGGCAAGTCACTTAACCCCACTGCCTAGCCAAAAAAAAAAAAAGAAAGAAATACCTCTCCATTCCACATCAATGTCTAGGATGCAACCCCAACTTTAGGAAGGAATCCTATGTCTTACAAACATTGGGACATGAACAGAGGTTTTATAAATCTTAAGTCATTGAACCACCAGAGCTCTAGGTTGGGAACAAGTTTTGGGGTTTGACTTCACTAGGGTAGGAATCAGAAGACCTGAAACCTAGTTGTAAACCTGGCACTAACCACTAACTCAGTATGTGACTTTGGATAGGTCATTTCCTCTTGCTGGGCTTGTTTCTGCCTCTATGAAACAAGGAGGTTGGACATCATCTCTAAGATCCTTCTAACACTGGTATTCCATTCCCAACATTCTAAAACCTAGAGAGTAAAGTGATACGGTGACCTACCTATCCATACTCATTGGACATCAATCAATCAACAGACACTTATTAATTACCTGCTATTTTTGAGGCACTGTGGGTACAAAGACAACTGAAACAGTTACTGCCTTCAAGGAGCTTACATTCCATTGAGGGAGAAAATACATACATGTGTATGTATATGTATAGAGAAAGAGGCACAGACCAAAAGATAGACACAAAATATATATATATATGATAATTTAATTTGGGGGAGGGTACTAGCAGTTTGGGAGATCAGGAAAGGGACACATTTAGAGTCAGTAGGGAGGACTATGTTAGGTCATCCCTCTGAATGGGCCTAAGAGTTTCTTTTGCCTTCCCTGTTCAGCCTGGATTTATGCCCATCTCTACAGACACCACCTTATTCAGATAGGGAAAGAGCTTACCACCAGCTTCCACTCCATCAGCTTCACCAACTCATCTCGAGTTAGGTATTTCTCCTTTCTTTCTCTTATAGAGACTGGCAGCTCCTCCTGATACCTGAAACAAGCATCTACTTACAAAGAGAGTGGTCTATGTGTATGCAGTGGTAACAGGGAAGAGTCAGTGAAGGTCACTGTTGCACTGGGACAACACTTCCCAAATCTAGCCTCTGAATCTCAGACTAGAACATTAAGATGCTTTAGAGCAAGGTGCCAGACACTACATATGGATGAGGTTCCTGTGTCCTGGACCTCTTAGGGACTTGCATGATTCCTTTGGATGCCAGGGCCTCTTTGAGCATTGCAAATAGATTTTCCTAGGGCCCAGGTTCTCAGGGAGAAGTGAAGAGATACAGCTAGGCTTCATATCCTGTCTAACCATCCACCAAAAACCAGGGATAAGGCTTGTGAAGGCATCTTGCCGTCTGCTCTTATTCCCCACCCTCCCTGGAGAAATTCATTCAGCTTTGGTATTTCACCCTGGGCTTGAGTTTTCCTGGTTGATTAGTCGAGAGTACAAGATGAACTGACCCCCTACGTCTGGCTGGTCTCCGACTGTGCTGTATATCACACTCAGCTATCCACCAGGACAAAGGGACCTACCCAGCAGGATCCTGCCACCACAAAACAGCTCATCAACACCCCGCCCGCGTGTCCTTCCACATCTGGCTCTGGCACTGCCCACAGTTCCACTGCATATCCCTGGGACTCTCAGAACCACGACTCCCCTCTGTCAGTCTGACATTCGTCAAGTGCCTACTATGTGTCAGGCACCGTGCTAAGCACAGGAGATGCGTCTCCCTGCTAGAACAGAATGGAGGTGAGGGCAGGGACCGTCTTACTAACAGAGCCCACCACGGGGCAGTTAAGGAATGCTTTTTAATTTACAGCCAGGCGTCCCCCCTGCCCCCTCTCCCCTCCCTCCACCCCCGTCCAGGCCCCTTGGGGAATTAGGGAGGAGGTCCAGGCTCTAGTGGAGGCTGGGCTCACCATGCATCCAAAGCGACAAGCTTCCGGGACTTGCCCTCTTTGGCTCTGACCGCCTCCTTGTAGCAGCCCAGCACTGCCATCCAGCACTGGGGGTCGTCACAGCCATACAGACCCCCGCTCGGGCCCATGGCCCCAGCCCCAGAGGACAGGAATTCAAGCACCTCCTGAGTACCGTCTCCAAAACGGGAACAGCCTTCTGAGCCCTGGGGAAAGAAATACCTTGGACCCCGAAGTAGGAGGGAAGGGGTTAGGAGGAACAGGGAGGGCGATTGCTCTTCCCTTCCCCACGCAAGGATCACCGCCTCCGCCAGCGCACCTTCTCTCCACCCCTCCCCTACTTACCCCGGCCCAATCTCACTCCTTTAGAGGCGGACATTCCCTTCCCAGCCCCGCCCCTTTCCCAGCTGCGCTCCGCCTCGGCCCCGCCCTTCATCCCGCGCACGCGTAAAACCTCGTCGAAAGTGTCTTCTTCCCACCCTCCTGTCTTGGCGGGCTCAGTCGAGGTCCTCTGCCCCAGCTCTACCGTGGCTGTGCCAAGACCGCTGTTCCTCGTACGCACTGACGGACTTGCTTCGGGCCTACTCCGATCTCTTTTCTCGGTGCGCGGTCTCCCGCTAGCCCCGCCCCCTTCCCCCAAGCTGGTGCGCTGAATCAACTTACGGCTCGGCCTTTCTCCCGCCCCCTAGCGCCTCGTTTTTCTGGCGTTCTTCCTCACAAGCTCACCCCTTCTCTTCCGGCTCCGCCCCCTCGTTGGTAACGCCCCCCTCGCTCTCCCCGACCGCAACTTCCGGTTGCGTGACGGCGCTGGGTCTCCGCAGGGAAGAATTCAGGGCTTCTTGGGACCGGAGGTCGGGGGTCCGAGCGGAGCCGCTGGCGCTCTCTGTCGGCAGCGCCCGGGGCGGGGCCGGGGTCAGACCTGAGTTCAGCGGCTGGGGCCGGGGGCCGTGATCGGATCACGGGGCCGGGCCGGGGTAGGGCCGAGGCCGGGGCCGGGCCGGAGCCATGAAGGGGAAAGAAGAGAAGGAGGGCGGGGGCGGCGGCGGCGGCGGGGCCCGCTTGGGCTCGGGGGGCGGCGGCACGGGCAGCCCCGAGAAGAGCCCCAGCGCCCAGGAGTTGAAGGAACAGGGGAACCGGCTCTTTGTGGGCCGCAAGTACCCGGAGGCCGCGGCCTGTTACAGCAAGGCCATCGTGAGTGCGGAGGGACGGGGCTGGGGGGCGGGGCTGCGGAGGGCGCCAAGCCGGGAGCGCTGAGGGGACGCGGGCTGCGCGGACCCGGGCGAGAAGGGGCGCCCGAGCTTTGGGGCTGGGGGAGGGATGGTCTCAGCCCCCTCAAAAAGAAACGGCTCCTAGATGCCTTTGTCCCAGGTGGATGGAACGGCGAGTGGTTGTAGGTAGGGTCCGGCTCTGCCCCGGACCCCAGGCCCCGGCCTTCCCTGCTGCAGGAACTGAGTATTCCTCCCTCCCCCCAGGAGTCTAGGATTGGGGTGGGGGGAGCCACGGGAAGTGGAAAAGGCCCTTCGCCCCCACCCCCTTTCCTCCCAGAGCTTCTAAGCTGCACGGACGGGAGGGTAGATTTTGTGTGTTCAGCAAGAGTTTCTTTGTGGTCCTTGCAGTCATTCATCAGAGGGAACTATAATGAGCCCGAAGATTCCCATAAGTCTTGTTTCTTTTTGTTCTTCAGCTGGGCAGGGGCAAGTCCTTACAAAGTCAGTAATTCATTTCTGGGTCTTGAGATAAATTATCTTTGATGAACTCAGAGCTTGGAAGGCTTGTTCCAGAATGTCCAAGGAGTGCCACCCAAAGGTGTTGAGACAAAAGACTGGGGCGAGTGAATTTTTTTCTGAGTTAACGTGAATCTTTTCTTAAATGTAATTCCAAGTGTAATATTCCAGTTTAGGCAGAGGAACCCCTTTTTAGTGGTCTTTCCTTGTAGGAACGTTTTTAAATGACAGGTACTTAATGTGCAATTGCTTTTTACAACAGTATCTTATGAAGTGGAAAACTGAAAAAGCATTTGTTGAATTGCAGAGCTTTGTTCTAGGGGCTATAGAGGAATAACTGTCAGAACAAAGTTCCTGTCCTTGGGGATTCTGAACTGGTTTGCTTCTAGAACATGCCATTTTAGACCATATAATGATAAAGGGATGGAGAAATGGCCGTGTCTTACAATTTCTAGGGACAGGCTGGCTACTTCCCTTGAATCCATTGGGCCTTGTAGAGTTAGAGACCTCAAGCTTCAGCTGAAGTGGCTAGTTTCAGTGGGCCAGAAGAGTGGGTAGATCTGAGTAGGGAAGGGAAGGAAGGAGAGTGTTGAAAAAGGGGGGAAAGGAGGATCTGAAAGGACAAAATGGGAGGAGAAATCTAGATATAGGGAGAAAAAAGAACCCCAAAGTTCTGTGTGTTTGGGGTTAGAGGAAGAGTAGCCTAGTGGTCACAGGACCAACGAAAGGCTTCAGCAAAGAAATGACTCCTAAATGTCTTTGTGATTCTGACAGATGGGTTGAGACATTGGAGCATACTGAAGGGAGTGTTGAACTAGGAATGGGAAGTCTTGAGTTGGTATCCCAGCTTTGCTACTTACTAGTTATATGACCTTGAACAAGTCATGTCACTTTTCTTGGGCCTCATGTTTTTTCATCTAAAAATCCCTTCCCTGCTCTGGGACTCAGTTTCTTCCTATGTAAGATGAAGAAATGTAAAATTACCTCTTAAAGTCCTTCCTGATTCTAAATTCAAAGAGGAAGAATGTGTGAGGTGAGACATTTGGTGACTCAGGCTATTAAACTACTTAGCTGATAGGGCTTTCTGTTTATCTCTATTTGCTTTAATGTAGCACTTTGTACTTGTCACCTGCCTGGCTTCCCGAGGATGCTTTTCAGGACTGTAGGTGGCTTAATGCCTATGGCTTATGACCCAGTTGACTCATGGGTGAACTTGAGTTTAGGAAGGGACCCATTCACAAACGCAGGTCCCTGAAAAGCCAAGAAGAGTAGAGACCTCACTTGAGAGCAGACTGCCAGATATCACTTAGGAGATCTAAAAATCCTAGCTAAGGGTGGTTTTCTAGGGATAGCTGCTCAGGTGACTCTGTAAATGGTTTGGAGGATGGAAGCCCAGAGGTGCCCAGTGATAGCCCTTTTTTTTTTTTCTGTGGTGAGCTCTAGCAACCAAATCTCTTTTCCTGTAAAATAACTAAAGTAAAAGATTTTCATCTTGCCTGATGTCAGAGGCTGAGATGAAAGGGGAAATAAGCCAGGCAGGTACTGAGTTTTGCATTCCCTGAACCTAGGACAGGGTCTTCTCCCTTTTGTCCTTGACCAGTAGAAGGGTTTCTTTGTCCTATAGGCAACTGGGCAGGACACAAGAGCAGGGCTATAGGACTTTAAGGGTCCCATCCCATTTTGCTGTTCTCTATTTCAAGGGCCCCACTGTTTCTGAGCTGTTCATGGAAGAGAAGCTGGGTGAGGCAGAAAATAGAGATAGGACATAGTCTCTGAAGAAACCAGGCTTCCTCCACCCCCTTTCCCTCACCACCCTCAGTATCACAAGGCTCACACATAGTCACGATGGTCAGCTCCTTTTTCACAGTTTAGTTCTTATGACCTTGTTCTAGCAACTGATAGCTTGGGCTCTCCTGCCTGTTGGTAGCAATAACTGATCAATGGTTGCATTGCCCAAATCTTGTTTCTGGGCCTCCCTAGTTGATGGAGACTGACACACTTATTTCACCCAGCTCATTCATCCGTGGTCCCCACTGGTGGGTAGGTGGGCGTGATACCACTAAGGTCCAATTATTGGCTCAAAGCAGACATTCCAGTACCCTCAGAGGATATCTCACTTGCCTTTCCTGGTCAGATACAGCTTAAAGCTGGCTGAAAACGGGGAGTAAGAGATGTGGTGCCTGAGAACCTGAGGTTGGAGCAGAGTGATGAACTAGGGAGTCAGAAAACTTGGATTTGAATCTCAGCAACACCTCAACTTTCCACGGATTTTTATAGTGGATTTTAAGGGGAATTAGGAGATTCTTCTTGGAAAGTAGCTGTTCTGCCCTGAGGCCGAATAGAAAATCTGAATTCAGAGGCCACTCTGGGCTTTCTGAAGATATTTCAGCAGGTTTTAAAGGTCTGCTGTCCTGCTTTCCCCCACCCAGACCCGAAATCCTCTTGTGGCTGTTTATTACACCAACCGGGCGCTGTGCTATTTGAAGATGCAGCAGCACGACAAAGCACTTGCCGACTGCAAGCATGCTCTAGAGTTGGACAGCCAGTCAGTGAAGGCCCACTTCTTCCTGGGCCAATGCCAGTTGGAGATGGAGAACTATGACGAGGCCATTGCCAACCTGCAGAGAGGTGAGCCAGGCCCCACTGGGCCATGAAGACTCTGACAAGAGTCCCAAGCCCCTCTCCCCGGGGCCGACTCTCCTGGAGTCCAAGGTCTTGTGCCCAGTAGCATCCACCCTCTCCCACAGCCTACAATCTTGCCAAGGAGCAGCGGCTGAACTTTGGGGACGACATCCCAAGTGCACTGCGCATTGCCAAGAAGAAACGTTGGAACAGCATTGAGGAACGGCGTATTCACCAGGAGAATGAACTTCATGCCTACCTCACCAAGCTCATCATGGCAGAGAGAGAGAGGTGAGCAGGTCAGGAAGGGTCCAGCTGCACCTAGGACCCCAAGCCCTATAAGCAGTTTTCTGACATGACTGTCCTCTCCTTCCCCTAGGCTGAATCATTCCCTGTGTATGGGTGTGTGGGAAGGGCTTGCCATGTGCATGGCCCTGTGGTTAACATTAGTTTGGGCAGGGAGGGGATTGGTCTGGACTTGATATAAATGTAGGAGACTCCCTCCAGAGATGTGGGTGGACACTTTGTCTATAACTTACAGCCCCCACTTGCCTGGGGGCACTACATTTTTAAGTGACTTGCTTATTATGGTCATATCCTTAGTGTGTATCAGAGGCAGGTCTTAAACCTGGCTCTTCCTTGCTCTAAGGCTGGCTCTCTGTCTCATCTTGCCATGATGCCTTTCAGCACTGGAGTTATTTCAGAAATGAAATAAGAAACAGTTCTTGGTGTCAAGGAGCACACAGTCTAAGGAGGACCAAAGCACAATACATAGACAGTTGTAAGGTAAGGGGAGGTATACGGAGTTTGGGGAAAGATGACTGATGACTGGGGAGATCACGGAGGAAGCAGATTTCAGCAGTCAGGGAAGGCCCAGAGAAGTAGAGGCCAGGTGAGATGTAGGTAGGTAGGATGAAATACAGATCTGGTAGGAACCATACAAGTTAGCAGCTGAGAAAAATAGAGGGCACAGTAAAATCAGACGCGTCTCTTCAGGCATTTGTGAGTACCTCCCCCCCCCGACCCCTGGCATCAATCCTGGGCATGGTGCTGCAAGGGGTACAGTTTGAACTTGAGACCAACTGTTTCTGCTGTCAGGGTAAAGCTTAGGGTGTAGTTAGGGAGACAGAATTCTGGACTGATTACCATCCAGGGGTGTGGCAGAAACAGTAAATGCTTCAAGGGTTTGGAGAACGGGGATGAGGCCTGTGGCTCCAAGTGACTGGGGAAGGCCCCTGGGGGAATGGTCAGTTATTTTATGTGGGCCAAGCTTGACTCCCCCACTCGAGGACCCTGTCATTTTGTCTTGTATTTCCTGCAGCGTAGCAGAGCACAGGGCTGGACACACAAAGTAGGTGCTCAGTAAAGGCTTGTTGATGGATTCCTTCCTTGGCCTCCCCAGGGAGCTGGAGGAGTGTCAGCGGAGCCAAGAGGAAGACAGTGGAGATGAAAGCCGGAACCGTGCCCAGCAGGCCAGCATCGAAGCCAAACACGTGAGGCTGCCTTGCCAGTCTATCCTTGCCTTATGTATCTAGGCCTGATGGCAAAGGGGGGAGATAATGATAGCACAGCTAGGGAATGGTACTGCCCAGGTTGAGGTCCACTATTGATGGCAGCTGGCCCAGAGACAAATGGGATGGTAGTCATAGCTGGGCTCCATGGGGCATCGTGGCAGGGGCTAATTTGGAACAGGGCCCAGGCCCTGGAAGGAAATTTCAAGGCCCATGTGCCTTCTTTTCCCTACTTATTAAACCCAGCGTCTTTGTGGGTCCAGTGCTCGAGGCATGGGGTGGCTGGGCACATCTTTTTATGGGCAGGACTCCCAATGAAGGAGGTGATTTCCTTTTCAGGATAAGTATTTGGCCGATATGGACGAACTTTTCTCCCAGGTGGATGAGAAGAGAAAGGTGAGGACAGACTCCCAGCCCTTTGTCACTTTGCTTTCCTTCTCATCTACTCTGCTTCCTTTAGCCTCCTGACTGTAGTTGGGGAGGGGACCAGAATTACTCCCCAAGGAGGACTGAAGGAGCTGGAGTCCAGCCTACCCAGCCCCCTGAGCGCTTCTCTCTTTTCCTCCTGTGATAGAAGCGGGACATCCCAGACTATTTGTGTGGGAAGATCAGTTTTGAACTGATGAGGGAGCCATGCATCACTCCCAGTGGAATCACATATGACCGAAAAGATATTGAGGAGCATCTGCAGGTAATGTGCTGGGCATAGCAAGGCTGGCTCTTCCTGGGCACTGGTAATGGTCCTGCTTAATACCTAATTGTGGGCCTCGGTGGCTCCTCAGTGCGGCTCTTTTTCTCTCTATCTCCAGCGAGTGGGCCACTTTGACCCTGTGACCAGAAGTCCACTGACCCAGGAGCAACTCATCCCCAACCTGGCTATGAAGGAAGTGATTGATGCCTTTATTTCTGAGAATGGCTGGGTAGAAGATTACTGAAGCTTATAGCCTCTTTCCTTGGAGCCCCGCTGCCCCCAGGGCCAACACATGCCTTACTGTCTGTCTGGTCTGTCTCTTATCCTAACCTGCCTGCTGGGTACTGAGCCAGCCTCCCATCTCTGTACTGCCTGTGGATTGGGGGACCCTGGGATGCTTTAGGGGCTTGCTGGTTTCTGGAATTGTAGAGAGTGTTTGCCTCCCAAAGGGTAAGACTATCCTGGCACTGGCCAGGTTCCTGCTGTGGAGGTTGGCATGGTTTCTAGCACCTACCTTCCATTTCCCTTTCCCCATGTATATAATTTGTGTTCACTCCCTCCTTTCTCATTTAACAGCCATTACCTGTTCTGAGCCATGACCCTGGCCCTGGGGGAGGGCTCTCCCTGGCCCCTCTTACCCTGTTCTGCAGTGTCTGAAGGGGCTGGAGTAGGAATGGACTGAAAGAAGCTCTATGGAGGGTAATAAAATCTGTGAGCAATATGCCTTTGAACTGGTGTGAGCCCTGCAGCTGCGGGGGCCTGGAAAAGAAGAGACAAGGGCCTACAGCCTTCTTTCCTCTCACGCAACACCTTCTGGACAGATTTTCTTTCTCTTGGTTTGAAACCCCATGGGACTCATGCTTACCTTTCCTCTTCCCCCTTCACTTCATGCTGATTTGTCTTCCAGCCCTAAGCAAGAGGGCAGAGAGTGGCTGGCACAGAGACACAAGGCAGCAGAGCCAGCAGCATTACTTCATTGTAGGGAAATTGTGGCAATAAATTAACAGCACTTGGAGTCAGAGTGGGGCAACAGGGCGGCCTCAGCCTGGAGGAGGCTGTTGCCTCTAGCCCAGAAATGTGGAGATGAAGACACTGGTGTCCAGGTTCAGGGTGGCATGCCACCAACGGTCAGGGAAGTACAGCACCTGGAAATGGGATGAAACTTAGCATAGGCCTTTTCTTCTTCCCACTTACCCAATAAAGTGAACCCCTCTGACCTCACCAGCCTGGACAGTACACTGTAGGGGCCGTTCAGTGATTGGGAGTGCTGGGTATGTGTTCCGTAGCCAGGCCAAGGTTGTTTTGTTGGGATGAAAATCAGGCGTCTTCTCTGGAGGATACAGGAACCAGCGCTGTTGGGGATGGGGATGGAGGACTTGGTCAGAACTGGCTTACCTCTGCCCCCTTCCAAGATCTAGGAAGATTTGTCTACCTCACCTTTCGTCCAAAGATCACCTCAGAGTAGCCTGGCCCATGCCAGTGGAAGGGTACTCCGGAGCCAGCACCTGCAGGGGAGGATTTATCAACAGACCTGGACTCCCAGCAGCTCCCTGCCCCTGAGGGTAATACTGACCTGCAATTCCAAAGCTGTAGGCTGCAGTAGTGCCCAAGAGACGAAAGGGAGGAGGGGAGTAGTGTTGGAATAGTCCACCCCACTCAGTGAAGTTATTGTCCCCAAAGAAGTAGAGTGTGTCTGGTGGGAGAAAGCAATTCAAGGATGTTCCAGCATTTCAGCCCTTTACTGCCCTGTCCACGGTCCTGATGTACCCTTGGGGTGGTTAAAATTCTCTAGCTTCATTGGCCCTTGAGAATAGGAACTCAACTCACCGTTCCCTAGGGAGTTTGGGTCTTGAGGCTGTAGCAGCTGTTCAACATAGTCTTGGAAAGAGAGGTCTACTGTGGGGAAAAGGAAAAGGCTGGAAGTCAGGACAGTCCTGCTGGAGGTTGCACAAAAGTGGTGTTCAGCACAGTTGGGCTTACCTTTCTGATAAGAAAACGTGTTAGCTGTACTCAGCCGGATCTTGAAGTCCCCAAATTCTGCCAGTAGCTTCTCTTTGGAGCACAGATCCTGGAACAGCTGGGGAGAAGGAAAGGGCCCTCAGGCTTAAAATAGGTGTGTTCCCCCACCCTCTCACAAGACAATGTTCTTCGGTGGAGCTAGGATCGAGCAGGGTATTAGGTATGGGCAGGATACAGCTTGTAGTACTTACTGAGTTGTTGGTGAGTCTTTGTAGAATGACAGGTTTAGAAAAGGCGTATCTGTGAAGCAAGGACAAAGGTCACAGGCAGTTCCTGCCCACGCTGATTCATCCTTCCTGCTAGGTAAAGCCATTGGGGGTCCTCCGCTCTAGGCATTGTCAGCTGTGTGGGGTTCATGTTTAGGGGCCCATTGTACTTTCACATCGCTTCCTGAACTCCAAGTCACCCACAATGACCAAGGAAAGGGCCCAAGCATTCCCTCCTTCCCCTACATACTGGTGAATGAACTCCGAATAAGTCAGGTTTGCTCTTCGATCCACAGTACACTGCTCCTCCTCTTCTAGGGCCAGGTGTCCACTCAGCTCCCTGCATGGGGGTAGGTGGAGGGAGAGCAATGAGACTGTCTCTAATGTCACTCATACCTGCCTCTCCCCTATTATCTTGTTTGCCGCTAGACCAAGGATGAATTCAGGTAGTTGGGCTCTTGCATCAGCTATGTCCCTGGTGGACTACTACCACATCTTGAATCCTTGTATCTAATTTTCTGGCACTAATTTCACCACTCCATTCCTTCAAGCCTAGTCAAGTGACCCAGGTGGAACTAATGATTCATCAGCAGCAGGTTTGGTGGGAATTTCAACAATTTAAATTTTCTAAGAGTCCAGGTAAACTTGGCTCTTCTCGACTAAAAGCTATATTCCAGACCTCCTTTTCTGATACATGAGGCCAATTCTCCACTGGATTGGCTGACACATCAAAAAGCATTTCAGGAACCCCCAACTCTAATTTCACCTATTTAGTCCCCCAGAGATTTCCCTTTTCACTGTCCCTTCTGTGAGTAGGGCAAAGAAATAGTGAAGGCGGTGGGAAGAGAGGCCATGTCGAGGCGCCTCCTTCCTCTTCTCTGGGATGCAGGAAGTTAAGACAACAGCAGTCTGCGGGTGGGGTCTGAGCAGATTTAGGGACCCGCCCCGTGCCCCTCTCCCCTTGCCTCGCCTTCCTAGCGCTCCCAAAGGCCACTCCGCGCAGACTCTGCTCCCCCGCTCCTGGACCATCCTGCCTACCCCTCCGTATGCTCACCAGCCCCCGCTGGCAGCGGTGCCACTCTCGAGGAAAGCGAGGGCTACCAGCCCCAGGAACAGGAACCGCCGCATCCCAAGCCACCGCCACCGTGCCAGCCCCATGAAGAGGAAACCCTCCGAGGGCTGCGGGAGCCGGAGCCCTGGGCTTGCTCAGGCACCGGGCAGCGCTCGGCTACTGCTAATCGAAGCCCCGCCGCATCCACCGCGGAGCATTATGGCCTTTGCAGCAAGGACTACATTCCCCAACAGGCTTCGCGCGAGGGACCAAGCTGAGATTGGCCGAAAAAACCGGTTGCCTTGGAGACTTCCTCAAGCAATCGGAAAACTCTTTCCTAGCAGGAACGTGCTTCCGGCCGCTTTCTCCCCCTTCCGTTCCTACACCAACTCTTCCCCCGTCTCGGCAGAGTGCTCCCTTTCTACTTTACTGGCAAATAAAGTGCGGACTAATTGCTGCGTACGCGCTCTTCTCCTTTGACCCCACCGCCAAATTCAACACCCGCCAGGCTCTCCTTTGCTAGCTGGAGAGATGGCTCTTCGGTTTGTCAAAACAAACCCCTCCCCTTGTGGCTCTTGATGCTCGACTGCAGTCTCTTCCAGCCCTTTCAGCACTGCCCCAAAACGCGTCCAGGTCTCCCCGACCCCTCCCCCATTGTCATTTGTGTCCCTTTGTAGGTCATTCCAACCTATTTCTCTGCTCCAAGGCCTTCCTCTTTCGGTCCACTCTCCAGACAGCTGCCAAACTAATATCCCTAAAACACAAACTGGCCTATGTGGACGCCTCTATCACCTCTAGGATAAACTACATAATCTTCGTTTTGGTTTTTTAAAAGCCCTCCATGTATGGCTCCCACCTACCTTTCCGATCATTTCACATGACTCCAAACCAGGGGGCTTGCTAGCTGTTCCCCATATCTCTGAGCACTCGCCCAGTTAAGTTGCAGATGTTGGTAATGCACCACATCCTCATCATTGCTTCAGAGAAGGTAGCTCACAGAAGGCCTTTCCTGACTCCCAATTGTTAGGTGCACTCTCCCTCCTGAAATTATTTTGTATTTACTTATCTGTGCCCCCAGGAAGGCATGGCCGACTTGAAGGCAAGTCATGGTTGTTTTTTGTCCTATTCCCCACCACCACTTAGCACACAGCCTAGAATTTAAAGGTATTTAATGTTGAACTGAACTGAGTTCCATTCTAGTCTGTCCTGCTTTGGAGTCTCTTCTGGGGACTGTCAGAGGTAGCTTCCAGCTACTGATAGCGCAACCTTTTTTTTTTTTGGAGGGGGGGTTAGGCAATGGGGTTAAGTGGCTTGCCCAGGGTCACACAGCTAGTGAGTGTTATGTCTCTGAGGCTGGCTTTGAACTCAGGTCCTCCTGAATCCAGGGCAGGTGCTCTATCCACTGTGCCACCTAGCTGCGCAAGCCTTCTTAAAGGGGACTTTCCTGGAAGGAGGAAAGAAGATTCGAGTACTGTTTCCAGCCTCTCACAGCCCCAATAAAAACCAATTCCTTTAGCTATAGTAACAACAACTTATATTTTATAAAGTGCTTTTCTCCCAACAGCTCTGCAATTTTTACAAATCTCTATTTTTACAGATGGGGAAACTGAGACTGGAGAGAAGCCATGACTTGCTGGCAGAGTTCAGTCTCAAATGGAGGTCTCCTGACTCTGTCCAAGGAACAGATGACATGAATTCATCTTTGCTTTTTTTCTTCAGAAGAGGGCCAGAGGCAGAAGCATCTCATGGCATGGCTTGGCAGTCCTCTGCTGTTTCTGTAGAGGCCCTGCAGACAGTTGGTGCCCATAGCAGTTCCTCAGGGGCAGCTCAGGTGTACTCACAGAGGTGGCCGCAGCCTGCTGGACAGTGTGTGCTGCTCTCCAGCCACTTGAGGATGTGTTGTAGATGACCACCATGGCTGCAGCCCTGGCACCACACAAACAGACCCTTCACGACATGGTGGCACACAGCACAAGTACTGGCACACTGGCGGCATCTGTGGCCAGCAGAACAAGAGAGAAAGGGAGGTAAGTGATCACCAAGGGTCCCAGGAGGCCATTACTCCAGAGCCTGACACTCAGGCTCTGTGATTCCCAACATTCTCTTCAGCACAAGGTCAAGGCCCTGGGATGGGGCTCACCCTTAGCCCTTAGCAAGCCCCACCTCCTCTCGGCCCAGCCTCTGACCTGTCACAGATCCAGCCCTTGTTGCTCATGGGCCTCTTACAGTTGCTGCAGTTGACATGCAGGGTAGTGGATGCCTGGTTCAGACAGGTGATGGCTCGACAGGTACTCAGCTTGATCACTTGGTTAGATATGTTCCAGAGCCTGAATCGCTGTAGCAGGTCAATATAGGAAGTGTACCAGTGTTCCTGGGAGAGAGGAGAGATCAGGGTAAGGCAGAGGACAGCTTTGGGCTGGTCTGCTTTCCCATAGTACTACACGGTGGCCTTTAATCTCCTGTTCCCTAAAGGGCCAGAGAGCACAAGGGGTGACACATGGTAGACGTGTCAAGGACAGTAGAGAACACAACCTCTCCCATGATAAAGAGCGACAAGTGGCAGATTCCTTGGACTCCCATCCCCCTGGCAACTAAGTGGTTAAGTATAAAAAGTCGGGTTAGGAACCCCAAGCTGATTTGTCAGTAACTCCATTTGAGCAAGACATTGCTTTTCTGGGCCTTCGTTTTCCCTATCTACCAAATGGAGATTATAAGCTCTACCAATCTCATAGGGATGTTGTAAGGATCAGATGAAAGAATGGATGAGAAGCTGCTTTGTAAACTGCAAGGTACTGGACATATGTAGTAATGCACCCAGAATTATCCCATTACAATAATGTCTGGGATTGTTATGCATGTAATAATTCCATTACTGAGTATTAAGACTGGGTTTACTCTAAATAGAAGCCTTGGAAATCTGTCTGAAGACCACCCTACACCCTAAAAAATTTATGGCTATCCTATAGGTTTGCACTGACCCAGACCCCTAACCTGTTTCTTCCTCCTACTTACTGACCACACATGATGACTATGTAATTTGGCTACTACAGCTTAACTCCTACTCAATCTCTTAACTATCCAACCTAATTTCTGGTCTCTCTGTTCTGCCCTTCTCCTGTCCTGTCAAAGTTTGAAAGGTTTACAGTTACTGACCAGAGTGGGAAGGGCAGGAGGGCATAATTGTGGAAATGAACTTGCTTCTGAGAAGGCAGAAACTATTTGTGGCTTCTAACAACTCACATTATATATACAGTGTTTTGAGGTTTATAAAACACTTTCCCTTTGCAATCCAAAATTAAAGAAAATGCAGTTCATAAAGAGTAACCAGCTCACAGTCACACAGGGAACCCAAAGTGGTAGCTCTGATTCTGCTCTGCTACACCACCCCTCTAGAACACACGGTCAGATGGGCACCTGAGTTTGCTCGTCAATCTCCTTTCGGATGCGTTCACCCAACACGATCAGCACAGACACGGCCATCTGTACGTCACCCTGCTCAGCATAGAAACGTAGCATGTCCCGCACCAGCGCACTGAAGAAGTCAGGAGGCAGACGGCTCTCATACAGCGTGTGGGAAATAGAAATAAGCGAGAAGGACTCCACAGGGGTCAGGGATACTGTCTCTGCCTCATTGCCACTCACGTGGGGTGAGTCGGCCTTGTCTTGCAGGTGGTCAGGACCAGAGGGATTGTCCACGATCTCATGACGGAGAGGGAAGGCTTCCTGTGGCAGCACGTACTCTGGCTCCTCCGCTGGGGGGGGGAAGGGTAGACACACCATTAGGTTGGGGGGTATTAACACTTCCCACACCGACAGGCCCCACTGGGCAATGCCCTGCCCAGGCCTTGCTGCCGCTTACTGTGGGCATTCTCATGATCCATCAGGTACAGCTCATCTTCATCTCCCTCCACATCGCCCAAGAGGTAGTCAGCAGGGACGTCACTGCCTTCTGTCTCCTCATTCTCTGGGAAGGGAGGAGAGGAAGTCAGACTTCTACAAGAACCGAGTATGGCCATGTTCCCCCCCGCTCATTCACTCACGGATCGTCACATAGTGCTTGGAGCCTATCTCTTCCAGGCAAGGGACAAGCAACTACCAGGAGGCCTACGAGGAGCAAGTGGCAGCAGGCTCCTGTCACCCCCTTACCATCATTGGTGATGAGGGTGGTAGAGGAGTCCAGAAGAATGTTCTCGCTTCGGTTTTCCCCCTTGCTCCAATCCAGTCGGGCCTCACTCCCCATTCCAGAGGCCATGTCCTTCAAGTTGAAGCTTTTTGGAATGGGGGCAAGAGGGGAAAGAGGTGAAGCCCAGAAGGGAAATGAGTCAATCAGGTGGAAGGTGCTGCCACCACCAAGTCCCTCCTCAGTACCCCTTCTTCTCTGCCCCTCGATTACCTATTCATAAGTGGAAGGCTGGCGCTGCCCTTCCCAATGCTGTGGTTCAAGTTGGCAGAGGGCATGGTGCCAGGACTGCAGTAAATAATCCTCAGCATGGTCCATGTTTGAGCAACCTACCCCAAAGAGAGAGTAAGCAACAGCCCCTGATCATGTGCTGAAGAGTGGGGAGGGGGCACTAAGTACATCTCTTCCCTTCCCCAGGAAGTAGGTTCCCCACATGTCAATGATGGGCCCAGATCTCCAGCAGCTCTTCTAGAGATGCCGCGGGCTAGACTCTGTTGAATTAAATAGAAGGAAAAGCCTGACGTTCACCTCACAGCCGTCTCTGCCTCTGATAAAAGGGAAACGTTCCAGGCACACATGTGAATCTCAGTCAAGGTCCCTCAAGCCCCTAGCTGGGGAATGCAGTTACTGTACAAAGTTATCAACTCAGCAAGCATTTATATTTAAGACACTATGAATGTCAAGGATACAGAGGTGAAAAACACCTGTTCCCATTCCCATCAAGGAACAGATAGTCTAACTGGGTGAAAGTAGTGGTGGCAGGTTACAATGGGCAGAAATAACTATGATAATATTTTCAGATTTTTGATATATTGTTTTTTGATGTTTTGCTGATTTTCTCTTCCTCTTTTTCTGTTAAAAAAAATTCTTACATGGAATGGTTCTCTGGAAGCAGAGAGGGAAATGGATACAAGGAGAAATTTAGGTGATAGAAAAATAAAATATATAAAAAAATTTGTAAAAACGATGACATGAGGCAGACTGTAATGAGTGTAAAGACAGCCAGAAAGATTACATATATCTTCAGGGAAGGAAGAGAGAGTAATGAAAGTTT